CAGCCGCTCTCTCAGTGCTCACAAAAGGCACTGGTCCATCCAAGCGCAGTATAAGTACAAAGATTCTGAACTCTTGCCTCTCTTCTCTCAAAGAAGACCGAAATATGGTTTATGCAGCGAATATCATTAACTGCAAGAGATGTTTCCACTTATTGACATATTCACCATTCAATTTATTTAGTTTTCTCTACCGAAGGGGGACTACATTCTAATTATCATAAGTTTTTCTTGGAAAATACAGGACTACGAAAAGTGGTCTGGAAAACTTTCTGCTGGTGGTTTATGAAAAATGCAGATTTTAGCATGCTGAATCATGTCAATTTAACATCGATTGATTCAAATAAGAAATGTTATATAAAGATAGCATTCTGATTCGATGATTATGAACCAACAGAAAAGTAACAGTCGTAATAAAGTTTATGCCAAGCTGACTTACCAGACCACCACCACATTTTGCGTTGTGACCATGAATCTGTGATGGACCATGCAAAATATAGCTCAAAGCGGTGGCGTAGGATTAATAGGATTAACACTTTTCAGTGGGGCTTATTTGCACCCATATCCATTAAATCTGAAGATCTTTCGTTAGGCTTCCGTGGACAGCGTAACTATACAGTGAATCATTTACACATGATCATACATACCTGTCGATTATACTTACGCACCTTCTGTTCTTTGCGCTCACTTTTATTAGGCCCCTAGAAGACTATTAAGATTATCCTACCGAGTCAGCGATATCCTCAACACAATTCCGTTAGCCAGCTGATGATACCGACGAACATCACGTCAAATTCGACAAGGAAAACCGCACTACACCTTCTGAATATGAAACTAACCTGCAGATCCGGAAAGTTGGTCAGACGCCATGTTTCTGACTGAAATCAGGAAATCCGCTCTAGATCCTTGGTTATTCGCTGAAGGTAAATAAGAAGGACATACGTACCCACCCGCTGAACTGAATCATGAGCTAGAAACGACCTTCGAAACAAAAGTCTTATTGAAAATCCAATCAACGAAATTTCAGGTTTCCGTTTGCACTGATGGTCGAGAACCGTACTCGGCCATATTCATAAAAGGCACGGTAGCTCGGTGTACCGTCTGCATAAGTTTTGACGTGCGCATAGTCACGGAAAACCGTTGCATATAAAAATGCAATGGTGGAAAAAGGCGATCTGCTTCGTCACTCTCGACGTGGTACGGGGGGGGGGCAATGTGATGAAAATAACATTCAACCGTTGTTCAGTGTCGCATGAACAGGACGATGTAAACACCTCATCCATGAGGGTGACTGCAGGCATAAAGAAATGCAACCATGCAGTACGTCATTTTCAAGTACCTGCTGTGAAAGTTTAACAGAAGCAAAACTGATGTCCAGAATGCTACAGCGACGCCCGATCTTTCACTCAGAAATCTGGACATTCAAAAACAAATATCAATTGCTGGTCATCTCTCCCAGCCATACGAAAAAAAAAATGTTATACGAAAGAAGACGAATTAGTGCCAGCAACCACGTGTGGTGGTGTTGACAACGAAACATACAATCTCCGGCTTCCGGCTCCCTCGATCCTCCTGGTTTTTAGTTGAGGATGAAAGGGGGAAGACACAGCAGCGCACCACGGTTCGCAGCCAAAAGACAAGGCTTGATGAAAATCCTAGTGGCAAACGCAGTCCTCAGGTCAACTTTGCATTTCGTACTTTCACTGATTTGATGGATTTGATGGATTTGATCCATTTGTAGTAATTAACATCATGAAAAGTACCGTAAAACACGGTTTACTCATACACAACTTAGGGTGGGGGTGAAGTTTCTTGAATGTTGTAGGTCGTTCGCGGCAGTTGATAATCTTCGAGTCAGAGTCCCTTTCGTGCGGTGTATAAGTAAACAGTGCTTTGCGCTATTTTTCTCAGTATGACCACCAACGCATAAACGAATTTCTCAATCAACATCTCATCATAATTGTCTATGGCAAACATTAGTTCACCTCCTTGCGGACAGCAGTAACGTGTATGAGCGAAATCTTTCTGACATGTCTTTTACTGTAGAGGATTGAATCTAAACATAGCCTATAATTATTATGGGTTAATTAACGAAACGAATTCTTCTTAGCCATTATTAATATGATCATTAGCACAATTTAAAGTCATAAATTGCATTTGGGAGGAGGAGGGCGATGCAAGAGTAAATCCAGTTAAGAAACATCAGCATATTCGCATTAGCATCACCACATCAACTTCGGATTCCGAAATAAGACAAGCCTCTCTTTGCATGGTGAGCAGTAAATAAACTGCGAAGAAAATATGGGAAAAGCTCAGTCAGTTCGAATAAGGATATGTCTGCTGAGCAGTTGATGACGGTTTCAAAAATAGCATAATTAATAACGATTGTTGACTATAATTTACGGCCGATTGTCTATCTTCATAATAGCTAACTGGGGCGATCCAAAAGCCCAGTGGACTAGTCCCGTTGATTCAATGAGTCGAGAAAAACGTTACCAATAACTATATCTTCCGGCATGATAAACGGTACAAAATGCATCAGATGAAGCAATAACCTTCCACTCATCAAACGAAAGCAAGACTTTATCATTGATCCTCAGGCTGAACTCCATGCCTTCCCAATCTAAAAAATGCGCCTAAGGGGGTGCTGCAAAATAACTTCGATGTGAAAGCTGAATTAGCGACGCCACGTCCCGGTGTTTGTAGCGAATTCTTCGTCAACGGTCTATGATTGATTATTGGCCCTGCGGTCGGCCATTAGTGAAGGCACTTTTGGAACCTGTTTGCCGCATGATGGTGCGCGAAGTTTGCACTTTAACGCTTGCAAACCTCCGCCATCACAAACCGCAATTAACTCCTCTGCCGAAGACTCAATCATTGAAGCGGCACAGCGAGCGGACAAACCTCTTACCTCCTGTTTTTCAATCTTTTTCGTTGTCGGCTTCCGGTGTATTTGGCGAGCGGCGACAGAAGCAGCAAATCCGGGTCTGAGTTCGTGACTCTTGGCCTCTCTTGAACAGGGCTTGTCGTTGGCGATGGCTAACACGCCTGAACAGTAGCCAAACAAGTGCAACTACCGTCTGAGTGACATGATAATGGAGCAGACTCAAAAGAACCCATCATTTTTTGGCTTCCGTGTCTGTCGTCGCAGCACCGGGAAATGAGCACCTACACAATGACAACTGTCGTCGTTGTCCTCGCAGTCGCCGTCGTCGACACACTGCCGAACCCGAACTAGACCAAGCGCGCAACCGAAAGCGAAGGCAGGCGGTCGACGACTCTCGGTCTGAGTATCTGTTACAGACTCGGTTCGGCGGTGAAAAAGAAACGCCGCTCGATCATCGTACAATTGGGCTACTTCGTGTCTTAGCCGTCTTAAATGCAGCCAAGTGCGCATAACTGTAGTCGTCCAGACAAGATGTTGGCAGCTATGCCGAAATTCTGGAAACTACTCCACTTCTTGCTAGTCATCAGTGACGTAAGCCTGTCTAATGGCATATAGACAATCATTTCGAATTATTTATGACCGATGCATTTTATATTTGATACGTTCGTCTTTGTAAGATTGACACTCTCCGGCATGCCAGCAAACAACATACGATTTGAATACAAGTAATTGAACACATAAACATAATGAATCATAAAGCCGCTGAAAATCACCACAAACAATGACCGTCAAGCAATTACACAAACGTCTATACGTTGACGAGAAATTACACGACGAGAACATCGTTACTATACAGGATTTCGCCCTATTTCTGGACGTTTGCGTGTTTGAGTCTCCATCCCATGTCCTCTTCTCGAATCGAAACAGATCTCGGAATGGATTTTGTCTTCCGCATCTCAAAATCACCCATTTTATTTTTCTTCAGATGCGCTTTGAAGGCCACTTGACTTGAAAATATGACCCAATATATTTTCTCAGCTGTGTAATCTTTCTCTCAAATCCATGTTGCCATCACAACGACGTCGTGACGAATATTCCTATCTACGCTTATCCTGCATTCTTCTTCATAATGCAACTTCCTACATTTCATATTCCACAGTGAATTACCTGCAGCAACAACGACAAGGGTTACACTTTCTGCTAACTATCACACTGAGAAAGCGACTGTCAAGTGGGTCAAAACAAATTGCAGCCCTGGGAGGCGCTTAAACCAGACAGCATGACCGTGCCTCTCACTCATTCTGGTGTGACCGTATCCAAACATCACGTTAAACTACTCATTCGTAAGTCAGCGACTCTCGGTTGGTTTCACTGAAGCAAACGTGGCATAAATTCTTTGCTCAAGAAAATTCACGGTTAGGACAAAGTTTTCCTTTTCTACTGAATCTAATCCAGCACCTCCGATGTTTGAGACCTACCTCATTGCTACTGTATCACCTCAGCTGCGAATTACTAAATCACCAGACATCATCAATATACCGTGACACTGTATTGTGCAATCCGTATAGTTCCAAACAGCTATTGATTTGGTTACCATTCTGTGACGACCAAGCATTCAAAAATGCCTTCAACGCCACCCACTGTTTCATGTGCAAGGTTCGCTGGGAAACTGTTCATTGCCTTAACAATGACATGTAAACGAGTAGTCGAGGCACGGAAAACAGGACAAGTATTCGTCCTCCTTTCAGCCAGAATGGAAAAACACAAACAATCAGGGATTCCTCAACTTGTTCCTGCTTTGGTTGATATGCCATGGCTGATCCAACACATTCTTATAGAATTATGCTCATCTTCACCTTTTTGATTATTTCTCGAATCTTCTCCATTTTTTGCTGTATAAAAACTCACACATTCCCATGCTGCGTACGGTCCATGTTTCGTACGTAAAAGTTAGCACTGGGACCACAACGTCATAGAATACTTGAAAAGTATATGCTTGAAGTACAAGGGCAGTTTACAGATGAGAACATTTTTAATTTTTCAAAAGTACCGCATTCCATTCTGTTGACTTCATATAACTGATACTGTTGCGAAGATCAGCTCTTTCGGACAGTCGTGGTTTGAGAAGAAGAATTCTTTCTTCTGTTAGGCTTAGGACGCCCGCATGTAATTTAGTACTATGAGCCATGTACCACAATGTAAGCTACAAAGTATTCGGTGATTTTCAACCTATGAACTGAAATATTTGACATACATACATACATACACACACACATACATACATACATACATACATACATACATACATACATACATAC